CGTGGGTTCCGAGGCCCTCACTATTATTCCAAGGCCACTGCTGCTAACAATAAGCCACGGTTCAATAAGCATACATCGTCCGAGGCTCCTTAACAGCCATTGAAGGCCCACATACGAAGATTCGCTTATAATGGAAATCTTTTGTAAATGATTGACGTGACTCTTATGTAAAGTTTATTTGTGTCATGTCTTGTCAATGTAAGAGCATTTAATGTTTTATAAAGTTAGGAGAGTTAACTTGATTGCTAGGATTTGATGTCTTGGTCGAGGAGATGAGGCCAAGTGTAAATTGATCCAAAGGTCACCATATGAGTTGTAACACTATAAATACCCCCACCATGTAACACAGAAAGGACTAATGCAAAATTGAAGAGCAAACTGAATATTTTGGAACAATATTTCTCTCGCTTTAACAGTGATTTTTACAACAGATTTCTAATACAAATCGTCCTTTATCGATTGATTTCTTATACAATCGCATTACATTTTCTTGCCGGTAGCCTGAACGGAAACGTCTCGTGCCTTTTAGTCACTCCCACGCCCCTTTCCTGGAGCCATCTTGACCGTTGATCGGCATTAGCGTGTTGGATCAAGTTTGCGTGTGCACGAGTGAACCCGGCATCTGTTGGCAACATTTTCTGGAGTGAACAAATAGCATTTCTCTTTCAAAATGGATTCTATCTAAAAAATTGGGTTCAAACTGGCCTTATAGCCCGGTCAAACGTACCCATGAAAATCTCCATTTTGTTTTTATTTATTTCCATTCTCTACTGTTAGGGAAGGACATCCACGTTACACGTTCCCGCCTTTTCCGTCAATTTCTTTGATCCAAAAAAAAAAAAATTTAAAAAGTGAAACTTGTATACTTAAAACACTGGTTTTTAACATTATAATATAACAATAGATGATATGATTTCTCATTTGCACGTTTGTATCGGAATTCAACGAACAAACAATTATCCACAAATTTTTGCGTAAGGTAATCTTCTTTCCGAATTCATTTTGCTTGTTTGTTCCATCTTTAATTCTTCCAATTGTTTTTATTGAATAAATTTGGTCGCAATTCAATCGTATTGCGATTAGAATGCCTGAAGATCATTTCGCGTTTCCCGTGTGTGAGGGTACAGTCTTCCAATTTTATATTGAATCGTACCTGATCGGTGTATATTGGAATGCATATTGAATTTTAAGTAATCTATAGACGTGTTAATGGGTATTAGGAATAAATCTAACGCACGAAAATATTTATTTATTGAGTTTGGGAATTGCTTGTTGCTCATTTCTGTCTCCTTGGGACTTTTAAGCCTTTAATTTTTGGTATCTGATGCTGGTGGTGGTGGGCCTTGGAATGTTAGGGTATTGAGTGTTAACTTTTCGAATCTTAACTTCAGGGAGAGAGAACTAATAGAAGAAGGAAAAATTATGACATAAAAGTTAACTAAAAATACCACCCGCCCCCTGGGAACTTTTTTGTGATTGTAAGGAAAGTATAATAATCATGCGCTTCAAGTGATTACAATCTATTATTTGTGTAAACTCTAGTTTACGTACATTTCTAAAATTTCCCCTGATTGTTATCCAAGATCTTGAATGTGTTTTTGTAAATGTAGTGTTGCAAAGTAGACTATTTAGGATATAATAGTATATTCTACCACATTTAGTCATTGTTTGACAACCATTATTTCAAAACTCTTTTTTTCTACGTACTCATTTCCAACCACACATTCACGTAATAAAATATTCTACAAGCAAACCAAAATTTTTTCCCTACTTTTTAAC